ATTCTAAGCTATGGAATTCAGGAACCACAGGTATTTTAGATTCTATCACATCAGTTTTGTGCTGATCAGATGGCATGTAAATAACTTGGTAGATTCAGTGAAATAAAAGACCATGAATGAAACTTAATTTGGGAGGAGGTGAAAATTGTAAGAATCAAGGAACAATTTTCTTTTCTTATTGTACAAATTTTGAATATGAAGTTTAAGATATATGTGTTTTATTCTTATTCAGAGGAGTTATTTTATAAACTTAGTTAAACTCCATATGGTAAGGAGCATCATATAAATGGAGCAACACGTTAAAAATAGGATTGAATGTTTCACTTTTATATAGGGGTGTTGGTTTCATGTTAGAGTGGCCACCTGAATTATTTCTATAAGGATTCTAGGTGTTCCATCTGTATTTTAGGATGTAACATGGGACCTCACTGACTTCTATGGTAAAATAAAGGAAAGCTCCATATTTCCTATCTCTGCATCAGCCAGAATTGTCCCATTTTGCCAGTTTTTTATGTTGTGGTACATTTTGCCAGTTTTTTATGTTGTGGTACATTTAACTCTTATAAATAAAAGTTTCTGCTTTTAAAGCATGTTTGGAAACACTGTCCTATGCAAGAAATTTTACTTTGCTTTTTCCACATTTTTCTTTTTTATAACAAAAAACAAAATAGACTTTTATTTCAAGTGATATGTTTCCTAAATGGGCCCATTAAGGTCTAACTGTTACCATTTCTTTAAAGATTTCAAATTGCTTAAATGTCCATATACTTTTAATAATTTTAATTATGAAAATAAGAGACAGGTGTAAATTACTATATGACTTTAAGAACAGTCTTTTAAAAATATAGTTCAGGGGTGCCTGGGTGGCTCAGATGGTTAAGCGTCAGCCTTTGGCTCAGGTCATTGGGCTCCCTGCTCCACGGGAGGCCTGCTTCTTCCTCTCCCACTCCCCCTGCTTGTGTTCCCTCTCTTGCTGTCTCTCTGTCAAATAAATAAATAAAATCTTAAAAAAAATTAAAAATATAGTTCAGAAACTGAGTAAATAGGTATAGTCTTAGAAATGTAGATATGGATGTTTTTGCAGTACTCTAAATAGCAGAAACGCATTGCAGTTATGGTTTTGGGGAGGTTGAAACATTGTCCATTGAGTTCAATGGACATATTAGTTTGTTGGCTAATTTAAAATATTTTAAAGTTAGAGGTAAAACTTTTAACATATTTTTGATTTTCTGTTAGGAAAGCAAGCTGCAGAAGCATCTGCGAAGTATTACAAGAAACAGGGAGGTAACAATTAGAGCTTGGAACCTGGCCTGATTTAGAGAGAGGCTACAGTACAGTTTTGATAGACTCATTTAGTTCAAAGTGTGAATGTTTAAAATATGTTGGTCATACCATTTGTCTACCATCACATTGCTGTATTGCTGCATTACAAATTTGTTTCATCTTCTCTTAATATTTTCTTTCATTTAAAATCTCAGTTTAGGGGCGCCTGGGTGGCTCAGTCGGTTAGGCATCCAACTCTTGATTTCGGCTCAGGTCATGATCTCAGGGTCATGAGATCAAGCCCCACATCAGGTCCATGCTCAGCCCAGAGTCGGCTTGTCCCTCTCTCTCTGCCTCTCTCCCTGCTTGTGCACGTGCTCGCACGCTGTCTCTCAAATAAATAAATAAAATCTTAAAAAAAAATAAAACCTCAGTTCACTTGTTTGAAAGTGATAAGGAAGTTAATTTCATTGTCATGAGAATGTCATATCTTTGGAAGTTGGTACACACAGTTGATTATGAGAATCTGGACTCAGCCACACCCAAATTTGTACTCATATCTGTCATTATCATGGTATATGATCTAGGGAAAGATAGTGAGCCTTCCTTTGCCTCAGCCTCCTCCTCTATGAAGTAGGAATGATAAAAATGGTACTTACAGAATTGCTGTAAAGATTAAATGATATGAGCAATACGGAACTTCAGGCAATACCTGATAGCTTTTGTTATATTCTCCAGTGAGATCAATATTGAGAGGAAGTTAAGTGGGAACTTATTCAGCAGTTAATAGATCACTAAAATTTTCCTTATGATAGCTCATTTAATCCTTTCTGTAGTCTCATGAAATATGTCTTGTGCCATTTTACAAATGAGGAAACTGAGGTGTCCAACATAAAGATACATGGTGTTGCCCTGTGAGTCACCTCAGGCAAGGAACCAGACACGGGGCTGTTCCCTTATGACATGGAGGTGATTGTTCATATTTTAACTTCCCGATATTTTAGGAGGCTCCAGTGAGCCGCATCACTGAAAAGAGTGTGGTGCCCTGGAGTCCCCTTCTGGAATGTAAATACCTCTGTAATGCCTCCTGCAAGGAGTGATAATGCTGTTTTGTCTTCTTGCCAGCCCTCCAGCAAGAAAGATGGTCTGTATTCAACCCCCACAGGGTGCCCAAGAAATAATGCAAGGGTCACAATAGCTTTCTCTGGGTGCTCAGAACCTCTGGCAACTCCATGGCCTATAGCAAGGCCTGGATCTCCTCAATTCTGAGCAAGGTGGCTTTGCCAGTATAAACCTGGGCTGGGCAGAGGCCAGCAGTAATGAGTGACACTCAGCTCAGACCTGGGGAAACAACTCAAGAAATCTGCAAAGGCTTTGTCCCTGAAGCAACAACTGAGCAGAGTTTTGCAAGATGTGAAAGAATTTTCACATTTAGGGGCGATCCAATATATAGAAAGCAGGTTTAAGTCATCAATAATAATGCTCTATCAACAATTTTTTAATGTAACATTCCTTGGAAGAATTATTCCTCTGTCAACATAGATTTGGTTCCCTTTATTATTCTCTTTCATAGTCACAGTGGAAGAAAGTGTTTGTTACATTACCAAAGTCTACAGACTTTGGTAGACGGTCTGTCTCCCACAAGGAAGGAAAAGAGGTAGTTAGGTTAGACAGTTAAGGACGTTTTTAACCTATGATAAAGCACTTTCTGTAATATGGTAAGATAACAGAATATGCTGTATTGGGGTGAATACAGAGACTGTATGGAGAACTCCTTTATGAAATTGACTAAGGAAGTAAATTTCCTTGACAGAAAGACAGACCTAGGTTTTCAGGGTACCCCAGAGCTAAAGCTGAAGGAGGAAAATTTACAGAAAACAGAAGCTTAGGACCAAATATGATATATCTTAAAACATTTTCTCCTGTTACTAGTACCTAATGTAATTTCTGGTATGCAGTAGATGCTCAGCAAATGCACGAAAATATGCAAATTCCTTCAGTTTGACCACTTCAGTTTTTTCTCTGTATAATTGAATCTTGTTAAAATGTCTATACCTAGGGTTTTGTTTTGTTTTGTTTTGTTTTGCCTTTCTTTTTGTGCATAAAATTCAACTCAGCACTTCTGTAATTATGCAAGTAGTTATTCTGGGCATGTGCTCACAAAGCACTTCACACTAGCTGTACTTCACTGTCTGCAAATTTTGTACCTGGTCATTGCTTAAGGAAGCATTTTTATAAAGTTTTAAATGTAATTAAAAGTGATGTTATGCTATTTAGGTTCTGTTTTTTTTTTTTCTTTCTACATTTTGGCTCTGCATTCTGCTTTTACTGATGCCACGCTATTGAGCAGGAGATTGAGAGATGTGTTTATATAATGCATTGCCCTCTCCCAAACACAACCCTTTTTATTTCCTTTAAGAGTAACCACCACTGTTCTGGTTTTTAGGGGGTCACGTCTTTGCTTTTTAAAATTGTTCTGTCACACAGGTGTACATCCCTAAATATAGTTTAGTTTTGCTTTGTTTTTTTTAAAGGTGTATTTCTAAAGTATCTTTTCATTTTTAGGTTTATTTCTTTCCTTTTTCTAATTTACCTGTTGAAAACATCAGATCGTTCATCTTGTTGAGTTTTCTCACACCCTAGATTCTGTCGATCACTTTCACGGGGTGCTATTTAACAAGTTTTTCCATCCTCTGTATTTCCTGTAAACTGGTAGTTGGATCTAGAGACTTAGTTTCAGTACCCCCTCCCCCTTTACTTTTTTTCTTTTTTTGGAGGGGGACAAAACGACTGCCTAGGTCGTGGGGTGTCCCTCCTTAGGAGACACACAGTTCCGTGTCTGAGAGGGTTGCAGCAGATGATGCAGAATGCCGAGATCCACGATTCACCAGGAGTTATAGCTCATTGTGTCAGATTTCTAGAGTTTCTTCACTTATTGGCTGGAACTGTATAAAAAGAAAGTTTTCCTCCTCTATTATCTGGTTACCAATTGCACATTTAGTATAGGAAGAGCAGTGTACCTGTTTGGTTTTTTTCCTTTAATTACTACTGCTCAAAAAAAAAAAAAGTTGGCTCTAATGTATCTGCCATAAGTGGGATATAGATATCTATAGAGATATATCACCTCATGGTTTTGTACCAGAATTTCAAATTCGATGAGAAGTCAGAAGTACAGGATGAGTGTTTGAATTCTGCCATTCATCTATATCTTTGTCCAATCCCTACAAGTTTTTAAGGACTAAGAAGACTAGGAATGACAGAATTAGTATATCACACAAACCCACATTCTACACTAAACGTTCTTGTAATAACGATGAATGATATGATTCCTTAAAGGAATCAAAGCAGTTACTCCATTCTCTCCCTTTGGTTTTGTTTGCTTTTACGTGGGAGTGTTTCTGTACAGTCAAAGCATAGGGCCCCCCTTTATACAGTGCTCTTTCCCCTATATCCTTGTCAGCTGGAAATTTTAAGGAGATTAAGATTATAGCCTTAGGCTTTTGCTATTCTGGTAATGTAACAAACACTTTCTTCCGCTGTAACTGTGAAAGAGAATAATAAAGGGAACCAAATCTATGTTGACAGAGGAGTAATCCTTCAAAGGAATGTTACATTAAGAAATTGTTGATAGAGCATTATTATTGATGACTTAAACCTGCTTTCTACATATTGGATCTCCCCTAAATGTAACTTTTACAACATCTTTTTTGTTTTGTCTTTTCTTTTGTGGCTAATAGAACATTCCAGTGTGCCAGCGGAAAAAAATATCACTTTAGAACAACCTTCTAAAATAAAACTCACATGCCAATTCACAACATCTGGGGATGTGAATTCAGTAAATGTGACTTGGAAAAAAGGTGATGAACAACTTGAGAATTATTGCATCAATGTCACAGGAAACATCCTGTATACCCAGTACATGTGAGTACATAAAATTTTAACCTGCATGGCTCGATGAAATTCATCAACTTTTAAACATTTTTGATGACTGGGCATTCTTTCCTTTGCTGTCTTTTGAAGGTTATGCTAATATTCTAATTTGCATATTTACAGAATTGTTTCTATTTTAGAATTTTGATTAAATGCTAAGTCTTTTTCATTTTTATCAAGAAGTGTTTTGAGAACTAAGCCCATATTAATAAATTCTCTTTAGGTTTACCATCATTAATGGCAAACAAATGGGAAGCTATTCTTGTTTCCTTGAAGAGGAAAAGGAACAAAGGGGCACATTTAATTTCAGAGGTTAGTGCTAATAATTTATAGAGTAATAACTTCAGCATTATATTTTTAGGATTCTGAATCCCCCAATTTTTGAATTACCATTACAATACTAAACGTAATGAGCTGAAAGAAAATCATATACTTTTCCACTGAATCTTAAAGTGGTGACCTTAAAAATGGAACTTCCCAGTCTTCCCAGTGGTAGCACTGCATTTCCCAACCCATTCCCACTCCTGTCCCTCCCCTAGCTTAAATTGAGATTTTAGTGTGAAAGATGGGGCTGCCAGGTTATTTGTAACAGTCTCTTGAATTTATTTGCTTATTCATTTGTTTAGCCCACTAAACTCAGAGCTTCTATATATTGTCCCTTTAGGCATCTGTGAGAATATGCTTCGGTGTTCTGTACCAGTGGGTCTGGGACTTGGGGGGTTTAGGGATCCATAAAATTTAAAAATAATATGGAGATGCACAAAGGGTTGCCAGTTTTTGGTCTCCTCAAATAAGGAAAAACCCCAGAATAAAATCCATAGCTCTTCCCTGTGGAACAAGAAGAAGTAAGATCAGAATATTTTACTCTTAACTATCATTAAAGCAAAACTATAAAGGTCTCAATCTCATAAGAGAGACTAGTCACTGAGCTGGACACTTATCTTCATGAAAAACCCCTATTCTGTGATAGATTAGGGAACCACAGTGTCCATGCTGGTATCTGGGAAATGTGGTCTGTTGCCATATTAACTGTTCTGGGTTTTGCCTCACATTAATTTCCCAAGGTACATGAGAAATTGTTCTCCACTTTTCCTGAAAATTGTGAGGTCTGGCTAGCTGCCCTGACAAAATACGGATGCTGTCTCCAAGGCCCCATCAATAGCAGAATGGCCTCTCCAACATTATCATGATTTAAGGTGGTTCGCTCCTCTGTCCCTCCACCCCTCCCTGTATTCCCCCTGTTCTCACAGACTCATTTCCTTCATGTGGTTTTGTAAATGTTCTCACTTGGTAAATATAATAAACCCTTGTGTTTATGCAATTTGGTGTCTGCAAAGGCAGAAACTATTCCCATCCTTTGATTATGTTGATCATGTACATTCTCTCTTAACCTCCTTTCCTCTGTTTGCTTAATTTAATTTAGTGCAGGATAGATGCGCCGTGCATTTCCTTCCCTTATTCCCTTCCTTCCCTCCTTCCCCATCTTCCTCCTCCCTTCTTTCTTTCCTTCCTAATGAGCTAAGAGGATATTAAACACATGCACACACACACACACAGTCCTCTAGTAAACATTTTATTGAATTTCCTTTAAATATGTAAAGAAGGCCTATAGATTTTGAGGGAATACTCATCAGATCTTGAGGCTTAAAGTGATTCCAGGAGATTCAGTTTTAAAAATTGCTTTTTTCGGGCGCCTGGGTGGCTCAGATGGTTAAGCGTCTGCCTTCGGCTCAGGTCATGGTCCCGGGGTCCTGGGATCGAGTCCTGCATCGGGCTCCCTGCTCAGCAGGGAGCCTGCTTCTCCCTCTGCTTCTCTCTCTCTGTCTGTCATGAATAAATAAATAAAATCTTAAAAAAAAAAAGAGTTAAAAAAAATAAAAATTGCTTTTTTCCCCATCTAGCTAGGACTGTTTTCTAGAAATATGTACTAGTTACCCCTGTTCAAACTTTAAATATTGACTATATTATGCTTTTTCCTATTAGCTGTCTTATAATAAATTACTTAAATTATTATTTGGCAATGATCTGTCCTGCCTCTAATGTGAAAGATTAACAGAAGCATTTTATTTTTCAATATACCAATACATTTAATGCCACGTGGTCTTGGAGAAAGCCTCTTGATTCCATATCTATTTTGAGATGACCAGGCTGAATCATCTGGCTGGTGTCAGGAGCACCAACACAAGGCTTAGGTTTGAAATCAAATGCTTGAGAAATGCAAAGAGCCACTGAATATTTACTGTTTTTCTTTTTGTAGTTTTCTTAAAGTAGTTTAGTTCAGTTTATTAGTTTTTAATGCCCACTTAACAGTAATATAACTTTTAAGTATATACTGTCTCGAAGATATTTATAAAATTAATAAGTTGGCCCTTTCCAGATCTTTGGTAAAATAATATTTTCCTGTAACTCATCTAAATTGAATATTGCTTGGAGAAATAATTTCATTTGATTACAATTTAAAGGCATCTGCAGAACAATTCTTTTATAGTTATTATTTAATTAGATCTGTAAGGCTTATAGGATGGCATCTATTTTTATAAATATCCTATTATATTATGTCTCCACATGACTTGCTTATGGGTTTTCCTAAGAAGAAGGCTTATTTTTACTTAGCAATCCTACAGTTGAGTGTGGTTGAAAAGCCTTTTTTATCCTCTATTTTAAATTCAGCCAAAAAAACCCCATTCTGTCATTGACCAAATGAGTCAACTAGTGCATGAGCCTGAGTCCTTAGAACAATTCATCAGCAAAGCCCCTGCTTCTGCCTTTATGGGAGCTGGTTGATTTATTACTACAAGATTACAAAAGGGCCTCAAATCACTGATTAGTACAATGCCAAAAAACCTGCTCACTTTGTGTTTGGCTGTTGATGCTGGTACAGGAGAGAGAGCAAAAGTCACACTGGAAGCTTGCAAGTGCTAACATGTCGTGATTACTTTTCATTCAAGAAAGATGAGAGGTGGGCTACTGTGTTTCTCAGTAGCAGGCCAACTATTCTGATGTAGTTGCTGAAAACTTCTATAATATTCATCAGTGTTAAAATCTCTCGTTAGAGGGGCACCTGGGTGGCTCAGTCGGTTAAGCGTCTGCCTTCAGCTCAGGTCATGATCCCAGATCCTGGGATCAAATTCCGCATCTGGCACGCTGCTCAGCGGGGAGCCTGCTTCTCCCTCTCGCACTCCCCCTACCTGTGCTCTCTCTCTCTGTGTCAGATGAATAAATAAAATCTTTTATTTTTTTTTAAAGATTTTTATTTACTTATTTGAGAGAAAGAATGAGAGAGAGAGTTCATGAGAGGGGGGAAAGGTCAGAGGGAGAAGCAGACTCCCTGCTGAGCAGGGAGCCCGATGTGGGACTCGATCCCGGGACTCCAGGATCATGACCTGAGCCGAAGGCAGTCGCTTAACCAACTGAGCCACCCAGGCGCCCTGAATAAATAAAATCTTAAAAAAAAGAAAAAATTAAAATTTCTTAATAGAAAAGATGCAGAAATTTAGTTGGTGAAGGGTAAGTAATGGCACAAAGAACTTCTGAGAATTCTTGGTGAGATTTTGATGGTGCCAAGTGCTGTGAAGCCTCCCTTGGCCTAGCCATCTGTCTTCACTAGTAAGTATCCAGGGAGTCAAAATATGGAATAGTACTATGGAAGAATCAGTTGGAACTTCAGCTTCAAACCCCAGTGCTGAAGTCTAGTTAGCTGTCTTTGACTATGTGGAAGAATCTTTTCCCTAATTTGGTAATACCTAAATGTCCTTGGGCCGAAAATGACCCAGGCTGATTTTCTTCCTAGTTCACGATATAGATCTCTAACTTTACAACTCCATAGGGCTTTGACTGTCACCAGGTAGATCCTGGGCCCCATCTTCTTAGACACTAGTTTGAATCAGCAATTTCAGCATCTTCAAACTTGGATTCTTCCAATCCAAGACTCTCACCAGTCCTGCCTTATCCAAAGTTTCAAAAGGTCAACAGAACATATTAGAACACCGTATCGCTGTGCTTCTTTGCATAAATATTTCCAAACATAAGTAGCAGCCCAGAACCAACTGGGACCTCTGGAGAAGTTCTAACAAACTGGTGTTTCCTGACCATGGTGCCTTTTGTAATTTAGATCCACACTGCTGTTATCAGCCATATAAAATGTAGCAGAGCAGTGGTTAATGTCCACCTTTTCACATGGAGTTTGAGAAGTGTGGTTTTGCTTATCTGAGGTTTGGAAGGAACTTTGTGGCTTCAGAAAAGAATCCTTATTTTAGCCAAGCTTGAATCTGTGCTTATCTGCAGGTCTTTAGTTGAGGCCTACCCTAAAGTAGGGTTGACCTTTCCAGGAGCTTCTGTGTTCTCATACTTCATTTAATAATAAAGCCACACCAGGTGTTCGGCATATTGGAATGAAGTATGACTAGGTCGTGGTCTTGAACTGAGAGATTGATCGTGTTTTGTCAGGAGGCCCTCAGATAACTTCCTTTTCACTTGGTCCAGTCATGCTTTTTCCTAGCAAAATCTCAAGTAAGGAAATACACACCAAAAAAGGGACACTAAGGCAAAGTAACATTTTGTTATTGGCCAGCCTTGGCCACAAACCTTGCTGAAGTTCTTGGAAGGCTTTGCCACATGGAAGGCTTCTTTTTCCTCAATGAGGTCGTACTAACCTTAAGCCAAAGCAGAGCCTTATATTCCTTCACAGCCCAAGGTCAGTTAGGTCTTTACTCCTCTGGGCAGGAGGATAACACCCTCCTCAGCCAGGAAAAATATGCTGAGCATGAGGCTGAGTTATTTATACCTCTAGATTTCTATCCCTAGAAAACAGGGCCCAATCAGTGCCCTGGACCATGACTAATCCATGATAATCCTCCTTTCTAGGACTGGAAAACTGGAGGGCTGAATGAGAGGAGGGAATTTCTAGTGAGGTCACTGGGGACTTCAGTCCATAGGCCACTGCTCAGCCTTTTATTGACACCACCTCCAGTGTCTAGTGAGGAAACTGGATCTACCGTGAGAAAAAAAAAACCAGAATGGGGGGGTGGTTACTGGGAGCCTCAGTTGGTTACGCGGCTGCCTTCGGCTCAGGTCATGATCTAGGTTCCTGGGATCGAGCCCCGCATTGGGCTCCCTGCTCAGTGGGGAGCCTGCTTCTCCCCCTGCCTGCCGCTCCCCCTGCTTGAGCTCTCTCTCTCTCTGTCAAATAAATAATGAAAAACAAAATCTTAAAAAAAAAAAAACAGAATGAAATATTCTGTGGTTCAGCGTAATTTAGGCCTGTAACATTTTGATGCTGAAATTTATTGTCTTGTTTCTCAAGAACTTAAAATATAGTTATGTTAATATCAGGACAGTTGGTCAGCCTATTCTCTTGGCTCCTAGCGTTGCTTTCAATTTTCCTCTATTGGTTATTTTCCTGCAGCAGACTGCTGTCTGGGTCCCCAGATGAGCCCAGAGTGAGGTAGCCACAGACTGAGGAAACTGAACAAAACAAAAGTAGTTTGACTTAATAGGGAGAACACTTACATGAACTTACATGAGAGACACAATCTTTACTTTTATTGAAAAAATGCATGTGGATAGCAATTATTCCCTTATTTAAAAATTTCTCTCACAAGTTATGTCAAAGTACCAGTTGCTTTATTCTGCTTTTTCTTGTTAAAACCAGTATGTGGTGAACGGGCCCTTTTCTTTTTATTCTTAGATTCTATGTAATATGTAAAGTTATTATTCCATGTGTTTTTTCTGCTCTGTATACTACATAGGTCTGGAAACAAGAGTTTCTTTTTAACTTTTAACTAATTTAATTTCTTGTTATGGTAAGGAGCAGGATTGAGGTGCCCTGATTTAAATTGTTTTAATTTATCCTGAAATTGTAATCCTTACACAAAAATCTTATTCAACTGCTTTCGCCAAGTACTTGAATGCGTGTTTCAAGCAGAATTTGTTTTACAGCCTCACTAAGTTGATTAAAATAGATGTTATTAAAGGATCTCAAAGCTCCTGTTTCTTCATTCTTTTGGGCCTTGTCTCCTGCGCTTCATACCCTTGAGTTTTTCATCATTTCACTCTTTTAATCTCCTTTCTCACCTGGGCTGGGTAGTCTATAAGGCATTCAGTTTGGAGCCTTTCCTATGTTTTTACGTGTTCCTACAGTTCTGAGATGTATTCAGATGAATTTCCAGTTCTCTTTTTTTATTCTAAGTCTTATTTCTCCTCTCTTCCACATGACTGGCTGACCTGGAAATCATTCTTGCACATGATGATGATCTATCCTAGTAAGCTGACTCATGACCACTATGTAATAAGGCCATGGGCATTACAAATTGTGAGGGAGGTCAGTTAAGAAAAGCGATACCAGTACATAATCAAAATTTTGTGGTGTTTACTTTGCACCCAACACTTTATTTAGTATGATCTCATACTTAATCCTTTACAGCAACACAGTAGGATGGGTTATGACCTACCGAAGTACTCAATGTTAGTAACACTGAAACTGTAATTTGAGTGTATGTATTTCCTGGACCCAAACCAATTCTTTGTCACATCATTGTCACTTTGTGCTGACTTCCTTCAAACACTTAAAAGACCTGACCTTTGGAATGGACACATATTAACCACATATTAACTAAATATCCCTCATCCTGATGGTGACCCGATTGGGAGTTTGGGACACTAGTGGCCTCAGTCAAAAGGAGGGCTCAGAATATCTTCTGGCTGGGATGTCTTAAATCCAGGTAATCACTCATACTCCCTGTCTCCTCTCTCAGGAGTGCCCTAGTGGTACCTGACTAGGTTTTCGTAAAGTATTAGTGGGTGAGTACAAATTCTGATAGGCAGTTCACAGCTGTGGTTAATGTAAAATTGTAGACCATTCAGTTTCATCAAAACATGTTTCCTTAGTTATGAAAAGTGTGAGACAACTGATTTATAGATTGCTCTATTTTCTTTCATATGAATTACTTGAAGCATTTATGCTATCATGGGTGACATACCTTCCACTTACTTGCATCTCTTATTAGCACTGCTTCATTCAACACTCAGCTGGTCAGCAGCCTTGATGAAGGAGAGGGTGATATGTGCAATTGTATTTAGGCACACCTTATTTATTTATTTTTAAAATATTCTATTTATTTATTAGAGAGAGAGCGAGCATGTGCACAAGTGGGGGGTGAGGAGGGGCAGAGGGAGAGGGAGAAGCAGGTTCCCCGCTGAGCAGGGAGCTGTGGGGCTCGATCCCAGGACCCTGGGATCATGACCTGACCTGAAGGCAGACACTTAACAGACTAAGGCCCCTCTTTAGGCATATTTTAAACAATAAGGAAAAAAAGAAGAATTCCCACACCCATCATTGTAATCTTAATCATCTGAGGACAGAACCCATAAAGAAATCCTATTCTCCAACCCTATTTTTACCACTTCTTTGGTAGTTATACCAGTCAGAATTTCTTTTCTAGTCATTACCAATTACTTCTCCCTTCCTCATCTTTATCATTCATCCAACAAATGCCCAATTATCTTTGGGTAGTACAAAGCCAAGAGCACTTAGAGAATGTATTTAATCTAGAAAGCTAACTTTAGTACTTAAAACTGATCTTTCTATTTCTACCATGGCCCTCCCCAAAACAAAATATAAAAGTAGGGTAACAAGTGAATATGAAGCAATATTTATAAAATTTGTCAATATAGCATTAAAAATTTAGATATAATTTTATGCTTTCTCTCTGTTGCCAAATAAAGGAAAAACAAAACATAAAACCAAAAATCTGCTAAAATGAGTAAAAGAAAAAAAGTAAAAGTAACCTTTGTTGGTCAGTCTACACTTCCAGTCTAAGTGCACATTCAATAATATATCCTTTGAGGTCAATGAAAAGAAACTGATTCCACCGTGGAGCTATTGGCTGTCTTTTTATTGCTTTGCTTATGTTTTTATGTTTTAATTTTCTTTATCAAGTTACTCATATCCTTAAAACTTAATTTTTCTAAATTCAGTGGTCATTTTTATTCTGTTACTAATGGCACCTGCCTCAAACTTTCTTAGGAAATTTATCATCCAAAACAAATAAACAAAAACAGCAGAAAAAGAGTCATAAAGGGGCGCCTGGGTGGCTCAGTTGGTTAAGCGACTGCCTTCTGCTCCGGTCGTGATCCCAGGGTCCTGGGATCGAGCCCCGCATCGGGCTCCCTGCTCGGCGGGGAGCCTGCTTCTCCCTCTCCCACTCCCCCTGCTTGTGTTCCCTCTCTCACTGTCTCTCCCTCTCTCTGTCAATTAAATAAATAAATAAAAAATCTTAAAAAAAAAAAAAAGGAAAAGAGTCATAAAGACAACAAACTGGTAGTTGCCAGAGGGGTGTGGTGTGGTGGGGGAAATGACAAAATGGGTAAAGGGGAGTGGGAGGTATAGGATTCCAGTTATGGAGTGGATAAGTCCAGGGAATGAAAGGTACAACATGGGGAATATAGTCTGTGCTATTATAATAGTGTTTCTTGGTGATAGATGGTAGCCACACATGTGGTGAGCATAGCATAACATGTAGATTTGTCTGATCACTATGTTGTACACCTGAAACTAATATAATACCATGTATCAACTATACTCCAATTAAAAAAATGGTTTCATGTTATATGAAACTAAAATTATGTAAAGAAAATCATACTGATGAGAAAATGAAAGCAGAATTTGTCTTCAACTTGCATACATTTCCCTATTCAAATTCCCTCAGTAACATATATTTCTCTAAATTTTTCTTAGTCCCTGAAGTTCAAGGAAAACACAAACCATTGATCACTTATGTGGGGGATTCAACTGTCTTGATATGTAAATGTCAACACTGTTCTCCTTTAAATTGGACCTGGTACAGCAGTAACGGGAGTATACAGGTAAGATCCTATTTCTGTGATTCGAAGAAAACAAAATGAAAACTTTTATTTCATAAATAATAATATTAACAGACTCAGAATTCCTAGGATTATTTGTACTTCTGTTATCTTATTATTTAATGTGTCTTCATAAAGAAAGAACCGTGGAGTTGTCATTTCATGTTTTTAGCATATTGCATTGTACATCTGAAGAGACTCTTATTGTTTTAACTGCTACTTTGTTTTTTAGATTTAGCAACTTATTTAAATTTTTTGAAAGGAAGTTGTCATTCATTTTTAGTTGATGAGTTTAGAAATAACCCTAACAAAAAGATTCTTTTTTCTTATCATTCCATGAAAGTATCTAGAAAAAAAAGGTAGTTTTCTTTTCCAGCTTCAGTCTCTGGAAACATTTGTGAAAGAATGCAATACAGTGGTGCCATTTGAGAAAAGAATGAAAATTTGGTAACTTAAAGTTGGGTCTTGGGTTCTTTCAGTGTCACTGGCCTCTTTTGGCCTTCCAGAATCCAAAGAGAAGCCAAATACTTTACATTCCTATTAAAGAATTAATGGCTATTCAAAGAGCTGATAATAAGAAAAACATGAATATTCAGAAAATCATTTCTCACTCTCTTCCTCCCAAATAACCTCTAATAGCAGGGAAATTTAGGACATTGTCCTTCAGGGGACACCTGTCTATTGCTCTGGTATTAATGAGCATTGAAATTAAAGTCCTGCAAAGGCAAGCTATAATTCTAGAAGGGATGGACAGTATGGGACAGTGTAGATCTTACAATGAAATACTAGGTTCCTTTTTAGACAAAACTGATACTGCCATAGACTGTTGAAGGGAACCAGAGGAAAGGACTTAAAAGGGAGAGTGACTGATTCTGTGATAACATTGGTTTGACTTTTTAAAGAAAGCTCCAAATCACTTAGGGGTAGACTTAAATCATTACTATTTCTGCTGCTTTTCTTATTGATGATTAGGAAAGGCAATCATTTTGAGTAGGTAAATATTAAAAAAATGTATGTAAATTTATAAAGATAAATATCTGTTGTAGTACTTGACATACATAGCCTAATTTATTTGTTTATATGTGATACTGGGCAAAAAATAACCGAAATCTAATTGCATTAAACTCTTAGAATATAGTCTGTGCTTCTCTCCATTTGCTGTAGTAATTTTCTCTCAATTTGACCCTACGCACGGGTCATATTAGGATGTGAGGGAAGTGGGTACAGGTCACAACTTTAAGTCAAGTGTTTTTTCAAAATGTAGACCGACCACTTGCCTCCGCATCACCTGGGGTGCCCATTAAACATGCATTGCTTACATGTATCAGCTCCAAGTTAGAGAGGGTACATTTGAACGAGCATCACAGGCAGTGCTATGCACAGGGAGCCAGGTCGCTTTAATGGGGGTGAGGGGGAACAAATAATAAACTCACAGTTCTTGATCAGATAACCTCCAAGAATATTTGCATGCAGATTAGCATTTATTGAGCAGTGCAGTTGAGTGATAGCATAGTGAAGGCATCAGATGGCCTGAGAATAAGTTTTAATTTAAACGGATTAAATAAATCAGCTCCAAAATAGCTTAGTATGGCTCTTGAGAGGCTGGGGAAATCCAGGGACTCTCAGAAGCCAGCTTGCTGAGAAAGAAAGAAATTCAGATATGCGAAGACCGGTGTGCAGACAACCACATATACCGGGCTCACGGGATTTCTACCATTCCCGCTACATCAGCTTCAAAGGCCTGGAGATTTCATCCTCATTTCCAGTCTCAGGAACTCCCAGTGTCAGGAGCCAGTGATCTTCCTTTGTAGGAATGATCACATCTAATAGCTTCATTAATTCATGAGTTGATTTGATGTGTGCCTGCTCTTGTGAAGGAGGAAGTACTTTGAACAGCTAGTTGGGGATTAGATCGAGAAACCCAGATGGCTGGAATTTTTCTGTATCTTTAATTCTAATATTTACCCATGATGACCTACACTATAGTTTCAAACACGGAGTGTTTAGCACTTAAAATATCCCTTCCCTTTGCTACCATTGGGAGATGAAGCTCTCGGACTCTGTTATGTAAACTTCTCATAAATTTTAATATGCCTTAAAAAAAAATTTTAATATGCCTTATAGCTTTTGCTCAAAACTCAGTCATTTAGGACATGTGTCTTTTATGCAATAGGAATGGGTTTTGATGTCTCCTTATATTAGGTTCCTGTTGATGTTCACGTGAATGATAAGTATGCGATCAATGGAACAAACGCTAATGAAACAAGGCTCAAGATAACGCAACTTTCAGAAGATGATAAGGGATCGTACTGGTGCCATGCAGTGTTCCAATTAGGCGAGAGCCAAGAACGTGTTGAACTTGTTGTGCTGAGTTATTTGGTGCCCCTCAAACCATTTCTTGGAATAGCTGTTGAAGTTATTATTTTAGTGGCTATTATTCTGTTTTGTGAAATGTACACCCAAAAGAAAAAGATGCACACAGGTAAGGTTTCTTTTTTTAGATAATGTTCTTATGTTATGACTTAATACATTATAATGGCTTTAGAGTTTTGGGGAAATATCTAACTTTTGTTATTTGGAGGGGTGTTTATTTAACATTAATGGTGACAGTGATGTGAGCTTTTATTGTTGGTCTTTCTGTTTCAACTTCCTAAAAAATTTTAGTATGAAAATACACTTTTTCTCCTTTTGCTTTGGTGTTACTGGTACCTCAACACCAAATAGGTGATATGTGCTTTGGTACTAGAATAATAGAAGATTCTGTGATAGCTTAACATAAAAGAGCTCAAAGACAAACAGTCTTTCACTTAGATAACTCACTTAAAAAATATTTTATCAGACATTCTGGAGTTCTCATAAAAGAGACATTGGTCAGTTCTCCATTTTTGTGGCATGTGCTTGATAGATTGCAGGTTGAGAAACCCATGGTCCCCCCCAAAAATTTATCTTACATTCTGTATTCTTTTCTGATTTTGTACTAAATTTTTAGTAATTTAAAGAATTACAGATCAGTCAGTCTGATTTTGAAAATCCCAGGCACTAGACTATGCTTGATGAAAATTGCAGGTAAGGTCTGGAGAGCAGGGAAAGAGGAGAACGTGATGGAGGTGCAGGTGTTTCATGTCGTATGTCTCTCTCTCGTTCCAAAGAGGGAAAACCACAGAATGCATTCTTAACATGGGGAAAGTTGAATTCAACATACATGCTCCATAAGAATGATAAACCAATCTTAATAAATTCCTCTTTTGTTATACAGATGATGGGAAAGAATTTGAACAAGTTGAGCAGTTGTAAGTATTACAGATTAATTTTCACTTGAGTAAAATAGAGATAAATATGAAATTGAATAAAATTTTGCAGTTAGAGTAGGTATTTACCCCAAAGACACAGAGGTAGTGATCCGAAGGGGCACCTGCACCCCAGTGTTTATAGCAGCAATGTCCACAATAGCCAAACTATGGAAAGAGCCCAGATGTCCATTGACAGAGGAATGGATAAAGAAGATGTGGTATATATATATATATATTCAATGGAATATTACTCAGCCACCAGAAAGGATAACATCTTACCATTTACATCGCCGTGGATGGAACTGGAGGATATTATGCTGAGTGAAATAAGTCAATCAGAGAAAGACAATTATCATATGGCTTCACTCATGTGGAATATAAGGAATAGTGCAGAGGATCATAGGGGAAGGGAGGGAAAACTGAATCGGAAGAAATCAGAGGGAGACAAACCATGAGAGACTCTTAACTATAGGAAACAAACTGAGGGTTGCTGGAGGGGAGGTGGGTGGAGGGATGGGGTAACTGGGTGATGGGCATTAAGGAGGACATGTGATGTGATGAGTACTTGGTGTTATATGCAACTGATGAGTTACTGAAGTCTACATCTGAAACTAATGATGTACTATATGTTGGTTAATTGAATTTAAATAAAAAAAAAGTTTGCTGTTTGGACAAAAACACAAGAGTATATTATATGTGTGTTATTTTCTGTACACATCCATGTTGATTGGAGAGGCATGTGGAGTTTGCCTGCCTACATTAGTATCCCCCCTCTACCATTGACTTTTTACCTCTCTGTGCTTCAATTCTGTCCTCAACAAAATGGCTTTAATTATAGTATTTGCCTTATAAGGCTTTTGGATTAAATGATACTCTGTATGTAAAAATGCTTAGCATAGGCTTTGATGCACAGGGGTGTTCAATAACTATGAGGAAGTTATTATTTGTGTAAGCCAGAATTTCTTAACCCTGGCTATATTTTTGGTCACTTAGGATGTTCCTTAAAAATATAGTTGCTCAGACTTTACTGGATCTCCTGGATCAGAACCTCTGGGAGTAGTGCCTGGGCATCTGTATTTCTTTAAAATGTCTATCACTGATTCTTTTTTTTTTTTAAGATTTTATTTATTTATTTGTGAGAGAATGAAAGAGAGAGAGCACAAGAGGGGGGAAGGTCAGAGGGAGGAGCAGACTCCCTGCTAAGCAGGGGGCCCGATGTGGGACTCGATCCCGGGACTCCAGGATCATGACCTGAGCCGAAGGCAGTTGCTTAACCAACTGAGCCACCCAGGTGCCCTGTCTATCACTGATTCTAAGTCTCTCTTATATGGAAAATCACTGGGCTAGAGTTTTATTAGTCACTGTTTTTGAAAGAATACATATTGTGCCCCAGGTTCTCTTACAGCCCCTTTGTTCAGAGTGGAGCATGAGGAGGGCTGAGAAGAAAAGTATCAGGGATATAATTTAGTTTGGTCAAGACAGGAGTGACTAGTTCCTCTCAGCCAGAGGACTGAGCATGGAGTCCAATGATGGAGGTGCCTGAGACTGGGATTAAAGTCTGAGTAACACAGCCAAGGGCTGGACCGGGAAAACGAGATGAGATTAAAGCAGCTGAAAGAAATGTTGGAAATGGAAGGCCTGAGCACATATAACCACACAGAATGGCACCTGAGGTTTATCTTCATTGGCCAGCACAAGTTCGGAGGTGAGGTCTCTAGCCATGGTTAAAGAGTGGGAGAGCTGTCATTTAGATATTTGTAGACATTATTCAAATAGTTATTTTTACTCAGTACACAAAGGGCAGGTAAATCAACATGATATGAGCTTCTAAAGTAAGGGCACGAAATAATCATATCAGGAGTTCCATAACCTCAGATAGGAAAAACAAAACAAAACAGTGTTGTTGGCACCAACTTGGCATCAACTCTTATAGTTGGAAGGAAACTGCACCTCTTTCTGGTGAACTTGGAACTCTTGTTTAGAGTGCATTGAATGTTCTATCTTTCTGGTTCCCAGGTACTGTGTCCCATTCTTATACTTGGGGTCATACAGAAAACAAGACGGTCATTCAGATATTCAAAACAGTTACAGCCTTGCCCAAATGCTGTTGTCCCAGCTCAGCTTCCCCAGTGTTTCTGGTCATTCACTCCCTTGCAGTCACATTTGGGGGCTGCTCCTGTCTCAGTGGATTCTGGTTCATTTAAGACACTCGCTGAAGGGGTGGTACCAGGACGGTATGGAGTAGACTTACCAATTCTTAATTTTCATTTATGTAGCTTACCCTAATTTTAAAATCTTTTTAAAATACTTTTTTCTAGAATATCTTAGGAGTAACGTCAAACTGATTCAAATCTATAGTATAAATGATTTACTTTCTTTTATTGGTAATTGGGATAGTGTACATAATATTCTCTACCCTGTACTGTTCCACAGAGAGCTCTGGCAGTGTTTATTTTTTTAGTTTATTTCTTATTTCAATATCTTTAGATTTAATACAAGTATCAAGGGCACTTGAACTCATTTGCAGCCACCTTTTACCAATGTTCTTTTAGAATTTTTAGTTAGCAATGCACTTTTTTTTTTAAGTAATCCCTATGCCCAACATGGGAATCTAGAATTTTTAGTTAGGAGATAAACTTTACTTGACAGAATATATATATACACACACATATATATATATTCTGTCAAGAAAACTTTCTCTCTATATATACACACACACATATATACATATTTATATATAATGCTTATATGTTTAGATGCCAGGAAGAGTCCATAGAGTTCCTTGATGAAAATAAATCTTAAAACCGTACTAAATGTGTAACATCAAAACAAGCTAGTCACTTCAAATATTTCAATGAGGAGCTCATTCATTTATCTGATCCACTCATATACTTAACCCATATAATCTCGCCTGACAGCCCCTCCCCCAAATTTGGATTACGTGGTTGAATTTATTATCTGGTGGTGATAGCTTAATGAGCTCAGGCCTGCCTGTAACACTAGAAGGGTATTCATTATGCACTCTTGTTACCTAGTTTGGTCATTCTTGTCTTAAGAATCTGAAGGCCAGGGTGCCTGGGTGGCTCAGTCATTAAGCTTCTGCCTTCAGCTCAGGTCATGATCCCAGGGTCCTGGGATCGAGTCCCGCGTGGGGCTCCCCGCTCCGCGGGAAGCCTGCTTCTCCCTCTCCCACTCCCCCTGCTTGTGTTCCTGCTCTCACTATCTCTCTCTGTCAAATAAATAAAATCTTTAAAAATAAATAAATAAAATAAAACCAATGTTAAAAAAAAAAAAAGAATCTGAAGGCCACATTTGTCACCTTGCCCTGATGCACATTGGGTAGACAACCATGTTTAGCCTCTAATTCATTGTGATAAATATGTTGAATTATAGCACCTGTATCTCACATGTTGGCTGACCTTCTGATTGGCTGTTATCTTGCAGGGCCTCAAGACTGCTTACAAGTTATGGCCATATACCCAGGTCCTCACTCGTGCTGGGGGAGAAGCAGTTCTCCCTCTGCATAAAATAAACAGGACTGGTCACTGTCATCTGTGGCCACGGTTCTCTAAGCAACGGTAGAAAAACAAAATCAGCATTATGAGTAAAACATTTTTAGGAAAAATGAATCGTCTCTGTTGACCTTTTACATTTTAACCTGATGGCCACTATATAGATGATGTACTGACTTGATTTAATGCAATGTAAATATCTAGTGATTTTCTTTTTGTTTTCTGGACAGGAAATCAGATGATAGCAACGGCGTAGAAAATAATGCCCCCAGGCACAGAAAAAGTGTAAGTTACTTCTAAATGATATTCCAAATGAAAGGTAAAATTCACTGTACATAGACTATTATTCCGGCTACACTTTTTAGTTTCATAGGAGACCTTATCATTCACTATGTGTTTGAATATAGTTGTTTAGAATATTATAGGAGAAAATGTATAGTTATATAAAAATAAATGACATCTTTTTTCTATCAGAGAACATGTAGCAACCAATCTAAAAATAAATCCTTTGCCCTACATATATATATATACATATATATATATAAAATATGTATATATATTTGTCATCATGGGCTAGTTCCTTTTACTACTTTTCATGTAGTCTTGTTTTTTTTTCCTCTCTTAGGTTTTCTGGATTCTCCTTTTTTTATTCTCCTATACTCATATATTTGGCATTATGAACAAATACATAGTAGCTTATTTTCTTTACTGATTAGAATCAAAATTTTCATAGTTGATCAACATTTTTTCCCTGAGTATTTAGAAAATAGATACTGTTAGTTTTGGCAGTGGTTTGGATCACTCCTTTCTAGCACTTTCTGCTTTGCTAAAGTGATTATAAGTTATAGAATAATCAGGACATACTAATTATGTTTCATTATGCTTTATTTAACTCAGGAATCTGTGAGCCAGTGAATGCGAAACATCATGTCAAGAGTCATGGGAAGATGTACAGTTTGTACTTCAGCTTTGTTTGTTTCCTGTTAAGAATATCTCAGTTTTTATTTTTAAAAGGATGAAAAGTTTATGCAATATCCTCAGCAGTAGCTTTATAATAATATACACTATATCAGATCTAAAGATACATTTCCCTTCTGTAATTATTTTACATTAAAGCAAGGTAAATTATATTAAATATGTTCTATGAGCTATCACCCAGGATAATTAATTTCATCTTGGTCATCAAGGGATGCACAGAAGAGATACCAGCAAAACCAGTTAATACTACACAGAACTAATGTCATTCAAAACCTGTTTATAACCAAAGAATTCATTAAAGAGAAAACTTTTGCCATTTGCCTTAAAAAGTTTTTTTTTCCAGTCATGCTTACTATATTTAGAAATATTTGTAATAATTTTCATGTAATGTCATATTGGATAAAAACATCTTCCCTAGGAAATGAATACTTTCTGCCTTTGCTAATGATTTATAATCTCCACAAGAAAAACATACTTTTCCTCCACAAATACTGGTTTAAGGCAAGGAAATATAACCATATTCTTGCCCCAAATCTCCCATCACCACAAAAACATGTTTCCCAACCTTTGTTCTACTCATTTCCATAGCTTATACACACCAGGCGAAAGTGACTTTTAGTCTTTATATAGAGAATTTTTTATAAGCTGTGGGTTTGGGATTTTTTAATCCCAAAAAAGTGTTGATGCCCTGGGTACAAGTCCATATAGTCATAATATAGCCCTGCTACAGGGATGCTTCTGTGGTTCATGGTTTCTTGGGATCTTTGACTTGATACCTGGTGTCTTGATACCCATGGATGGCTAAATATCTAAAAATGCATTATTAGTGCTTTATAGTCATGATTCCGTTGTTTGAAATCAATCCAGAAGTACTAAAGGGCTTCTTCTATGCTGTTGCAAATGCCTTAGACTTTTCTTCAAAATTAGCTTAGTTTCTATTGCATATATAACTGAAATATTTTATAAAATCACTGTAACCAAACCAAATGAAATATGAATAGACATGAAACATTGTCAGTGGCTTTGAGTGGACTATAAAATCATACTACAGTGTACTAGATTGGGTTGAAGACAATGATGTGAAGCCTGCTAGGTGTCCTTAGTGCTGCTGGGTCCCATCTAGCAGAGGTCAGAAAAATCAGAAGTCAAAGGGGAAGTTTGGGATGGTGGCAAGGAACCCACAATTTTTGGTGACTAGAAGATTAATATTCGGAGAAGAGGAGTTCAATGACTTGGGGAGAAAATACCTTATAGAAATGTACATTATGTACTGGCTGAGAAAATGATAAAACTGTGGTAGTGAAAATTATAATTTATATGGCATCTTAACTAATGTTAAAATATTACTAATTGGAATAATACACTTAAGTGGTGACTTGGAAGCTGCCCATTTTTTCGTTGCAGCATTATTTTGTGTAAAGTGTGTTCACTATACCTGCACATTTTATTGAACCAGAGTATATCCCTTAAGTAATGGCAGATTTCATTTTATTCTTAGTCTCAGAGCCATAAGCCATGCATCGTTTTGGTTTAATTCATTATTTGATAACATTCTCTTGGATGGTTATCTATATGGTGGCAGACAACCAATCGGTTTACTTCATTAATATAAACAATTTGAATTCAGTGAAAAATTAGTCAAACCTGTTATTTGACTAAGTCCAGTTCAAAGTGGTATATTTATGATTGGGTATATTTAAAACCAAAAACAATTTGTAGTTCATATGCAGTATGTATCTGTCCATTTTGCCACACTATTTAGGCTAGATATTTTTCAAGCAGGAGAAATTGCTGCCCCATGGTAAAATAATCTGAAATATTTGTATAGTAAACTGAATTTTTAAATGTCAATGCTTGCTGTTTTTCCTAGCAAAGGCAATTCATTTCAGTAACCTTAAGCAGAAAAAGTACTCAGAAAATTAAAATTGAGTTTTGACTTTTTAGATTCTCTCTGGAGGAACTTCTGGAAAATTACTTCAGACTCTTAGATTAAAAATGGAGTGCTTCCATTAACTAACCTCATGTGGAAGATAAATGGACTAACTCATCATAACCAATTGTAAATGGGCTGAAAATACTAAGTAAGCAGAAAAGCTGAAGTAGGAAAACTGCTCCACGTTTATATATTAGACACCCTGGGAAATTCTATTAATCTTTCCAGCTAACAGGGCTTTGCAGAATAAGGAGATTTAATGATGTTTTAAAATTCTCAGATACTTTCATATTCAGTTTATGCTTTAATGTAAATCTTCTCCCATGGTATCTTTCTCTTTTTCCTCAGCGTCTGGTTACTTGGGTCAAAACCCAGAACTCATTGTGATACTTTCTTCTCCTCTATTCACTAAGACTCGTTAGTTAGGAATCTTTGTTTCTTTGACCTTCTCACTGCTCATTAATCCGCCCATTGCCTTCCCCACCCCATTCTCACAACGGCAACAGCAACAGTCTTGATTTTCCTGCCTCCATCTCATCTTCCTATTAATCCATTTTTTGTATAGCTGCCCGAGTCGTCTTTTTAAATACAAATCTTGCTATATTAACTTAATATGGAAGCTTTCATGCCAAACTTCTGCAGGCTTACCTTTGCCATTTCTTAATACTGCAGTTTTCCAAATGGCTAATCTCTCTTCCGTGTCGACTTAGTCTTGACATAAAGAGATTTGGTGCAGAATGCTATCCCCCTGTGCTCCTTCCATTGACTCACTTGAGTTTAGCGTTCAAAACTTTAATCTGATGTTATTTCCTGGTGGATCTTTCATACTCAGTGGGAGTGTATACCATGTTATTTGCTCAAATAACTCCACATTCCTTTGTGTTTATTACCCTGTATTATAAACATACATTTGTCTCCTTCCTGTGTCGTGTACTTACCACAAAGAGGATACACTAGAGATGTCATAAAATGCGTGTTGAATAGATATAAGTAAAAATCAAATTTCATTAATTTGTAGTTATTTTTAGAACAATCTAAATTGTGACATCAGAATTAAAATACAGGGGTGCCTGAGTGGCTCAGTCGGTTGAGCAACCAACTGTTGGTTTTGACTCAGGTCATGATCTCACAGTCGTGAGACCAAGCCCTGCCTTGGGCCCTGCTCTCAGTGTGGAGTCCGCTTGGGACTCTCTTTGTCCCCTCTCCCTGTGCCCCTCCTGCCCTGTGCTGGCTCTCTCCCTCTCACTCTCAAATAATAAATCTTTAAAAAAATTTTAAAAGAATTAAAATACAATATTTTAACAGATAAACAAAGTTTTATGAGTCAATGTTTGCTTCTGTTACTTTGAAAACTACATAGTAATAGGATAAAACATCCCATCAGATTTTAATAATGTGTTAATATCTAATGAGCAAATAGAATTCTGATTCCTAAACCGTTATGCGGGGTATGCCCCTTTCAACTTATTTAAATTCCTATTCTCTATTTTTCATGGATAGTTCAGATGTTAACCTCATTTTTATCCTTTATTTTAATAAGATAAGGTATTGACTTTAAATATAAAGATATTTAGCAACTGTAGCCCTTTGCATGGTACTATAGAGCGCATTAATATTTGTGCTCCCTCCACTAATTTCTCATCCCTCTTCCCTGTGGCAGTACCTTACAGTACCTTAGAGCATCTCAGAATCCAATTCAAAACTTTATCTTAAAAGAAACAAAATTTTTTAAAGAAAGGTTTCATTGTTTAGTTTTGATTACTGAAAGTTTGTCTTTAATCAAATTCATCAAAAAAAAAATGTCCATTCTGCTCACTTATTCCCTAGGTCTTCATCTGTGAGGCATTTAAATAGATTTATACAAAATGGTTTACTGAATAGCTACTATACTACCTTATAGAAAATGAATTTTTCTCATTGAAAAAGGCTTTGCAATGAATTAGGGACTTACTCCCTATTACCATCGTTCATCTTCTGGAGGGAGTAAGTTCAAGTATGTGTTCCAGTATTAATTAAAAGGCACAGTGACCTACTTATAGCATGCTCTGAATTAATATTTATTGGATGAATGAAAAATAGATGAATGACTCAATTATTTTGGAATTTTAAATTATACATTATTTACATGATACCTACTTTGATTCTCATTAATTAACTGTGAATATATCCTATCTAGAGAAAAAACTGGAACTTGCTATGTTCAATTCTGTGATATTTAGGGATGTATTTGCACTGAATCTAGAAGGTCAGTTACATGCCAAATTGAGTTCTTCACTGAGAATGTATAATATTATTAAATAATAATAACTGACTTTAGTTAAGTGCTTAGCATGTGACAGGCACTGTACTAAATGCTTTGACATGTGTTACCTCACTGAATCCCCACATCTTATGCTACAGGAACTATTATCATCTGCTGTATTAGAGAAGAGAAAACCAAAGCTTAGGGAGATGGAAGTATTTGGAACTGGGATTGAAATCCAAAGAGTCCTTCTCAGGAGTCTAGGTTTAACAACCATGTTGAACAGCTTTAGCCTCTACTTACCTGCATCTTAGAAAATGAGGCTATTATCTATATCAAGCATCTTTTTAAAAAATTTTTACTCTTTTAGATGGTCAGTTAAATAAGATCCATAATCTTATCCTTAAGGTTTGTACGACCTGTACTCTGGCATATTTGTGTACCTGCGGCGGTGCTGGGCAAGCATGATACTTTTGTTCATTTGGAAAGTCTTTCTTTTGGTTCCCTCCACACCCACCCATGCCACCATTTTACTTCTCAATAGCTAGTGTGACTATTGACTTTATCATCCAAACACTGAGAACAAAAGGAGGTGCTATGTATCATTTCACCAGGACAACAGACAGAAAACGGACCTAATGGTCACATTTTAAGTCTGCAGGGAGGAGCTAAGTACTCTGTGGTTGTTCTAGCCTAGGTACAGCAGTAACATCTGTAGCAAGTTCGACTGATAAACAGAAATTCACTGTCAGGGAAAGAACTATCTTTAGAAAATGCCCAGTGAGTCTCACTATAGAGAAATGTCTAGAATGAGACAATTTAGTAAGCTGAGAGATTTATTACTTTCCAAAAGTAAAATGATTAAAATTTATTATCATTCAAAAGTATGAATCACAGTCATAAGAGAAGTTGGAAAAGAAAGTCGTGTTTTTGATAACCTGTGAAATGAACTGGACGATTCTTTGGATTTGCTTTATCTTCATGATTAATGTGTCATAGTAATACCCATGTGATTCTCAATGAATCAGGAATGCCTGATTATGCTTTTACAATAAAATTTACTTATAAAATCAGTGAGGATCACTCATGAATAACATTGTCAAGATTACTTATGGTCACATGATTAACTTGTAACATCTATATTTCTTACTCTC